ACACTGCTTCTCCCCCTGAAAAGTGAGGGATGCCCCTCATCAGCAGCGCTACGACAGGTCTTACAGGCAACATGGAAAAAGGCATTCCAGCTTCAAAGTCCAATTTTTCTGTTTTGAATACAAAACCTTTGAAAATACAGATTCCCAACAAGTGAGACAGGTTCCCAGCATCGTGGACGTAATGCAGACTGACTCAAGAGTTATCATTTATGGTCATGGAAAATCAAAGTAGCAAAGCAATGGGTGAAAGTACTGCCAAGTGAAAAAGACCTTTCTGAAGAGCCAGCCAAGGGTAGGAATGCAGCTCTGAACATGCTTCAACGGCAAGTGAAAGCTGATTCCAGCTTTGTGAGCCAAGAGAACCACAGAGATAAGCCAACTGCTTTTCCAGTGCGATTGTGTGGCTACTGACATGCCAATTCAGCCTCGGTGGGAAATCTGACAGCACAAAAGTTTAGAGAAAGCCTTAGCAGGAGACTAGAACTACCTGTGTTGGTGACACTGTATTCTTCACTTTTCTTCCTGGTTTGGTAGATGATGCAGACCCAGACCAGAGACGTCAGCACGATGCTGCACACCACAGCAATGGTGATGATCCCCACTGTGGTACGGTCCTTTCTACAGCCGAGGGACTGTAAGATGCTCACGTGGCTGTGTGCTCGCTCTGTCCCCAGGGTGTTGGACATTTCACAGGTGTATTTCCCAGCGTCCTCCAAGACAACGTTCCTAACAATCAGCAGCTGGTTGCCAGAGGTAAAGTGATGCCTGTCTGTCACGATCAGGGGCTGGTCACCTTTCAGCCAGGTAATGCGGGGAGGTGGGCTCCCTGTGGCTTTGCACTGAAGAGCCACAGTCTCGCCTACAGACACCACATGGTCTTCCAGGGGGTGAATCAAAGATGGTGTCTCTGCAGGGGAATAAACACAGAAATTAATTCTTGGGGAGAGTGTAACAACAGATAATTTTTAACAGTATTGGACGTAACCGATGTTCCTGCAGATAAATACACAGCAATGCACTACGCGGCCACGTGCCCAGGAGCATGGTGGCTGCAAACCACAACAGATCTAGCGATCACTACCAAGGCCTTCCCATAACCAGTTGGTGTCAGTCCTCCCATCAAAGAAACCCCTGAGGACAAGAGGCAGTGGCTGACACACGTGAATTATTCTGCAGGGCAAGAGAGATGGAGTGCAATTTCCTTTTAAAGTCATTTTCCCAGACAGCAAATAGGGCGGTTGGATGGGCTTCCTTGGCACAAGAGGAAATGCACCTTATGGCTCCTTGTCTTAATTAGCAGGGTATTTTTCATTAGTTAACTACAGTGCAAAAGAATGAATCAAGACTAATGCAGAGCACTGCGCCTTTGTCCCTCTGCTGTATGTGCAACTGCTGAAGAGCTCGAACAGCAATCCCATCCAGACCACTTGGTCTCTCGGGGCACTAATGCGTCTTACCCAGTACAGTCAGGGTGGCGTTTGCAAGCACCGACCCCGCAGAGTTCTGTGCCGTGCAGCTGTAGACGCCCATGTCTTCTATCTTCACATCCATAATGAAGAAGACATCGTCATCAGGCATGACGTGCATGCGGCGTTCTCGGGCCGCAGGGAAGTCCGTGCCCCCATCTTTCTGCCAGGCGATTTGTGGGGTGGGGTGTCCTTCAGCTGCACACTCCAGCCGTGCTTTTGTCCCTGTCCGTCTGGTGATGTCGTGGGGAGTTTTGATAAACGAGGGCAACACTGATAAAAACAAGAAAAAGGGATGAGCAATTCCACAGGGAAAACACCATCTTCTGGACAGTTCCGTTTTCCTTCCTAGGCAGGAGACTAATAGGAGAATTTCCCATAGGCAAGAGGACAGCAAGCTGCTTTTGCAGGATGTATCTAAACTGCTGGGGACTAACCCTTGTTTCTACCGTACACACCTGTCTGCACTGTCCAAGACCCCCTAGTCAGGATCATTAGAGCTGGGATCAAAGCTAATTTTCTTCTGTGATTAACTTGGGAAGAAACCCTGTTACCTCTTGTACAGAGAGCTTAAAATCACTACAGTCCCTCCCCTTCTTTGTATCCTTTTGTATTTTCATTTGGCCATTTTATTGGGCAAAGACTCTACCAGAACAGCCCAAAAGAGGCAGCTAAAGCCGCTAAGAACGTGCTGAAGTGCTTGGCTGGATGGCAGCCATCACGAGCCTGCCATGTGCTTCTCGTGTGGCATTTCTCAGCATCCACTGCGACGCAAGCAACTGGTGCGAAGAGGTTAAGAGCTCCTCACCATCAGGAATGGACCCTCATGAGTAACTGCCTGCCAAAAGCGAGTCCCAGAGAATTATAACAGCTCAGGTTGAGGAAAGGAATGAGAAAGCAGCTTCCTACTCACCATTAACAGTGAGTCGGGCCTTGTTGGAGTAGGTAGAGCCAAAGTGGTTGGTGATGATACACTGGTAACGCCCTTCGTGAGCAAAGGTGACATGCCGGAGGTGCAGAATGGTGGTGTACTCCATCACCTCACCATCCTTTGCCCGCACATGGGCAAAGTTCTCGATCTCAGCATTGTGCAGCATCTCGTTGTCTTTCTTCCATGCAAACATCATGGGGGAGCTGCTGCTGCTGGTGGCCGAGCAAGTGAAACGGATGTCCTTCCCAAGGACAGCCACAGTTGTCTCAGGCTGGATGATGATCTGTGGCTTGGGGAAGTCATCTGAGAGAAAACAGCACATAGTTAGTTCTGGACTATGAAGAAAGACTGGAGCAAACAAAGAGATGCAATGAAAAATGAGCAGTGCGTACGTGAAAGACACACATCTTTATCGCACATCTGCTTTTACATCCACTGCTGTCTACACCAGGAAAGCAGCCTGCTCTTGCCAAGCATTCCACCATCAAGACTGGTTCTACAGTGCAATGTGCCATTCACAACTCCACTGAGTGGCTGGTCTAAGCTAGGACTCTCGTTCCTCTGGTTCCTTCTCTAATCAGTGGACTGAGACGGTCACCTCAAACATCTACAAGATGCTTAGCTCTCTTCACCCACGTAGTTGAACCTCAGAAAGATACTGTGGTCTAAAGAAAATATCCTTCCTTGTACAACCCATGCATGAAGAGCAATACTGAACTTAAAACTTCACCCTAAGGCCTGCATTAGCGTGAAGCAGAAGGGTAGAGCAGGACACTTACATGGCTGCAAATGCTACCTCTAGGGATAACAGCTCATGAAGCAAGGTGACTGCAGCACGCACTGTCAAAGCAGAAGCAGCTGTATTTGCCTGTCACCCATCTGAGGTGGAAAGCTTTGCACACTCTCTCTGCCCTGAAGATTGTTGGTTTTAGCAAGGTTCCAAACAGATTCATTTATTAGATTTCTACAAATGGTGTAATTTAATATTTGACTAAGGTTTAATTAAACAGCCAGGCCTCTGGAACCAGGAGTACTAGTGCCTGGAGGACTTGGCAGGCAGTGGAGAAGCAAAGCTGTCTTCACTTTGTGATGTTGCTGTGGGGATGGAGCGTCATGATCTCTTCTTCCAGATGAACACAGCAAGTCTCCCAGACTCGCTCAGACAGAGGCCACCTAGGCAGAGCCCTACCACTCTGGGATCGAGAGGGACATGGGACAGCAGCTGGAACAAAGCTTTTGCTCTGTGTTCAACGCCAGTCATGCATTCAACTTAGTTAAACAGTGTTGTCAAAAGCTCGTTTTCCTTTCATCAAATAGCCATATGCATCTCCACCCAGGATCCACACTGGCTGGCTCCACAGCACAGGGTTTGGCTCACCAAACCAGGACTTTATTTTGCCCAAAAGCTGGATGCATGAACAGCACCACTTTAACCCCTCTGATCATTTATGTTTCTTTTCTTTACAAGAGGTAGTAGATATTTGTGCGTGCTGGGTATTAAGTAAAGCTGCTTTGCAACCACAGCTCAGATGCAGAGTCAACTGCAGTGTTTGGGTCGGAAAACAGCAATAGGTGCTGTTTAGAAGGAAAATCAACCGTAGGAGAAAAAAAGATTATAATGCAACTCTTAGTCATCAGTTGGTTCACATGCAATGCCTTACTGGCCCAAAAAAAGGAGCTGTGATGGAGAGATTCTCCTCTGCTTTTTTTTTTAACCCTTTGTTATTTTCAAGAGGGAGAAAAGATGAGTAAAGAACACAAAGCCACAGAAGCGCAGAACACTACAGAGTGAAAAAAGTTATAGCTGCAGTCTTGGTAGCATCAAACCGAAAGGACTGGGGAAGTCTCTGCGCAAGCCCCATTTGGAACTGGAACAAGCATTAGTCCCTTTTGATTTAATACTCAGGGAGCCCTGTAAGGAATCCACTGGATGCAAGCAATGCACTGTGTGGTTTTGGTGGGAAATAAATTGTAGCCAATGACAAATTTTTAAAATGCAGGCTGGGCTTCCTTTGATCCCACTGAATAACAAAACAAAACAGAAACCCTCTCATAATAACATGCTTGTAGGCAAAGAAAATGTTTCCCAAGTGAGTCCTACCCTTCGTACAACCTCAAAACACAGAGGCAAGACTTACCACACACAAAACTTTCTGGCAGGATGGCAAAAATGCTCTTGCTTTTGAGTGACTCAGGATGGGCGCAGGTGGCCACCACAAAGGATTGCAGCTCTTTCTCAACTAACCACTGGGGCAACCATTTCAGCTGGCAATCGCAGAGGAAGCTGTCGCTGTTTATGTGGCTGCAGGGAAACAAAACCAACACGAGCCTGTTGTGAGTCCCGCATGGAGAGAGAGCTGGAAAGCTCACAACCCTTTCATGTTAGGCACATTCCTCCCTCCCCTCCAGCATGGGTGGAAGGAAAAAAAGGACTGCAGGGTTGTCCTAAAGGCACTAATGATGTTAAATACGTAACACATTTAAACAGCATTTCATCTCCACACAGAGCAACCCATTCCTGTACTCCAGTGACACTCCCTAGTGCCTTATATTTATTAACCAACTTCCAGAGTGATCCCCAGGCACAGACGAGCAATGCCATCCCTGGCTTAAGTGAGAGAAACCAAGGCAGATCATCTACAAAGGAGACACACAGCGGAGGCACAAGTCAACAGTACAGCCCATCCTGCCTCCATTTCTTGTATCTTATTATCATGCATGCTCCTTCTCTGCCTCTGTGGTTTGAGCATCTTTGGTGGGGGCTGAATTCAGGACTTAATTACTGAACAGTGAGAGGATGCCAAGTTCCCACTGTAAGACCTTCAGTTTCCTCAGTGGCCAACACCAGAGAAGTAAGTGGAGAGGGCCCTGCCTGCCTTCTGTAAGGTATGTGTTGGCACACCAGCATCATCAGGGGTAAGTGGTGTAGCTGATGTCATTTATTTACTGATTGACAGAAGCAGCGGAAGAGAAATGACCAAAGACATTTGTGTAAACGCAATACAACCAGTGACTAGTTTGGAAAGCAAAACACAAAAACATTTCTCAGCATCCTCACAGTAACTTAGCACCTTCTGGTAAGAAAAGAGCAAATAAAAGGGAAGCCTCAGGATTTTTTTTTTTTTTTATTGGTTAAATATTGTGGGCCAAATTGTGGCTCAGCATAGCTCTGAGGCCAGTGAAGAATTGCAAGTTTACACCAACAGGGAATTCAGACTTTGGTCTGGCTTGGTCCAAGACCCTAGGGAAACTCAGTCTGATCCCTCAAATCGAACAGGAAAACACCTCAGAGATCGGGAAAATGGCCCCAGACAGAGAAGTCCTGTCCTGCAATACTGAAAGGTGTGCAAGAGCAGGATATCAAGAGCATAGCAGAATCCCAACTCCAGCACTGTGTTCTAAGAAGATGTGAATCTCCTCCCATTTTTCCACCTGGTAACCTCAGGAAATCATGAAGTCTGAAACTAGCCAGGAATGGGGAAAAGAAAGAAAAGAAATGGACTGGAAAGGGAGGGAATGAGGGAACACAGGGATCTGATTTTCCGAAGCTGTCCACTTTGCTGTCCTAGAAGGATGTGCAGCCCCTAACACATGTGATGGCATAAACACTGCTGGCTAGCTGGGACAGGTCAGAGACCCTTAGTATTTAAGACTTCAGTACAATGCATTCTGCATGTATATATCCCCTATCTGAAAGCCACCTTCTCCGTGGCATAAAGGTTCCTTCACTATATCTGGATCCCACAAGCTCTTCTCTAATAAGATCAATCTTTCGCCCCAATTTTGTTTCAAGAGCCAGTGCAAAAGATAAGGTGATTAAACAAACAACGGACACACAACGTTTATCTTATTCATTCCCCAGTCATGGGTATTAAATGTCATTGCTAACAGTGACCACCCGATTCCCATTTCCAGTGCCAGGAAGAAGAATCTGAACCTGCCCAAACACCAAATAAGCGATTTCTTGTTCCACAGACATTGCACTACTCCAGAGTGTAGCAATGCATGGACAGTGGATTAAAAATTTATAGAGAAAAAGAGAAAAGGAAACCAGGGAAGACTGGAAACAGTGTCTGATAACAGTGCAGAGCCCCAGTCTGGAGCACAAGCAGCAGCTCTGATAACACATCCGTACTTTTACACCAGAAGGCTGGATGACAAGTGGATCCAGTTCAAATCGTGCTTATCACTGACATGTCAGTACTGCATGCAAACCCTAAACATAGGTACAGCAAAGAAGCAGATAGGCCAGTGGGAATTAAATCAGTGGCAGCATGAGAAGGAGAGATGGCTAACAGGACCAGGGCTGGACTTCCTGAGTGGAGATGAATAATCGCACAGATGCGAACCTGCTGGAAGAACCTGTTCCGATGATCTAATTTCACTAACTATTAAACTCAAGATGTCCCCGTGACATCTACTCATGTGTAAAAATACCCTGCAGAAGAGGACAGAGGGGAGGAGGAAATAAATGAATGGTAATGCGAATAACACCCCACTGGAAACAACATGCTACTTCTCACATCCAGGGCAAGAAGGATCCCTGCCTCCTTAATGGTGTGTACAGTCCAATTACTTACAGCTGCTGCAGGCTCTTCATCTTAGCAAAAGCATCTGCTTGAATGGAGCGGATGGCGTTATCCCCAAGGTTCCTGCAGAACACAACAGAGGGCAATGTGAACAAAAGGGATGCTATGGCTGTGACAAAGTCTCTCACAAGCAATGACTCCAGTAGCAGGTGATTTGGTAGCTCCTTGTTAAGGCCATATGTACTTGCAGCTCATAGACGTAGCTTTCCACAAAACATTTTAATATTCAATAAAGTATTGCCGAACAATAATCAATCAACAAAAATTACGGGAATAAATCACTAAGTCATTCCATACCCCATCTTCTCACTACATTTTCTCAGTCTCAGCAACCTCCATCATCCATAGCTCAGAAATTCCTCAACTGCCTCAATAACCAAAGATAGTCAGGAATGTCATAACCCAGGCTAGACTTTCAGCAAACATAAAGAAAGCGAATACTTGCACTAAACGGCATCTGAGAAGTTATTTGAAAGTGACTTTGAGAGGATACTATTGTGTTTGAAAAACATGGCAATGTTTCCAAAAGAAGGTATTCTTACAAGATTCCCTCGCAACTATTGCTAATTAAAAAAATTCACTTGTGCTCTAAAAAAGGGCTGCGTCAAATTTAGGGCATAAGTTTACTAAGTGAAGTGTGGGACAGACAAGCACTGCTCGCAGAGGAAAATCTCAGTACAACATTAATAGGGGAACCTTTACCTGGGAACGTATCCCCCCAGTCAGGCAGCCCTAACCCTTCAGTATGTTCTCAAAGGTCTTAACATTTCATACAATCTACAGCCAATAAAACATCTAGAGCAAAATCACATATACTTTAACTTGTCTTAATTCAGAAAGGAAGTTAGTCATGAATCACCGCTGGAGTCATCAGCCTTGGGACACAGAAAAAAAAAATTACATAGCATCAGCCAAAATGTACTTCTTGCAAATCGCTCTAAGGCAGTCGTGCTGAGCGGGGATGTTCGGTGCCTGCATCGTAAGCAGTCATTTGCAACATGTGTCACTGCCAGAGCCTAGATTTAGGAGGAAGTTGGTGCAAGGGAGGAGGAGCGAGGGCTACATCTGAAATAGTGTATTTTCACTGCTAGCAGCCTCCAAAGAAGCAATATGCAAGTCAAGGCGATATTTATCCAAGAACAAATCAAAAAATTAAGAGCGTGCAGATTTGCCATATGTTCTATAACTTTGTTCCTGGCACAAAAAAAGGCCAAAGTTGAGGCGAACTTATAATGAGAAGGAAGCAGGTGGCCCCCACAAATGGACTGGCTTCTCAGTTTACAAAGACACTATTAAATTGCTAGCAGATCTCTCAAGCAGCTACTTCTAGCAGACCCCCCTTCCCAAACTCCGAGGCATGGTGGGTTACTCACAGGTGCTCCAGGGCCTCCAATCCTGAGAACGCTTTCTTGGCCACAGACTTGATCTTGTTTCCAAACAGAGTTCTGCAGTTTCCAAACATCCAGTGCCAGATAAACAGAAAGAAAATGGGGAGAGGGGGGCAGAAAAAGAACGAACACAATTAGCGTGGTTTTATCTGATATATGTGCTCGGTGCAAGTCCCGGGAAATCTGAACTGCATGGAGATTAAGAGGGTTGAAGTATACTTGCTTTCCCACTCCTGAAATTAAATCCTTTTATCTGTATTTGAATTTAGTAGTGATGACAGCACAAAAGGGAATGTGCCATATCACATAAAAAGGCAGGTTTGCTCCAGTGCTTGAAAACCAGCTTGCTGAGTAACAGAAGGTCCCCTCTATTCTTTGCAGGCTGGCTGTGGACAGGATAAAGTGCAATGACAGTTTAACAAGATTTTGGTCTCTCCCTGCAACACTTTTCATTTCTGACTTCTTCCCAGATAGTAAGAGAGTGGTAATTTATTCACTGTTGCTTGGCCTGAATGGACATACACACACAAGGGCTGAGGGCTGGATCTTGGCTGCACGTTTATACAGCAGCTAATTGAAGTGACTGCTGACTTCCTTCCTTGGCTTATTATAAATACAACAGTAAAATAATATAATGCAGTAAATAATAATCGAATGGTAATTTCAAGGGACAAAAGGAAGAAAAGGTAATAATGTACAGAGCTGAGGAGTGTGTTTGCTTGCATCTGTGACCAGAGAGCATTCCTCCAAATCAGCGCAGTGCTACGCAGTGGCAAGAGGTATACTATCAGCAGGCAACAGCCAGCTGGAGCGATCACAGCCCAGCTGCTATCTGCAAAGTAACAGTTCTCTATAAATATTGACCAGTGGTGATCAGTCAGGGGCAGGGTTCATGCAAAATGGATGGTGTCCTCACCTGTTTTAATAAAACATCAACCAATGTCATTAACTAGGAATGCTTTCCTTCCCCAGGAAGACTTGGAGAAGATAAACCTTAGACCCCTGTCTAAGGTTTATCTTCCAGGTGCATCTTTTATCACCACCTGCTTCACATGGTGTCCAATGCAAGTTATCACTAACACCTCAGGTGAAAAACTGGCACATACCGTGCTGCCTTTGATTGAGTTTTCCTTCAAGATTTTTCCTTCAATATAGGGTGTAACCGGTATTTGCACCCTACAAAGGCTATGATGGTCCCACTGCTGGCTGCCAGGTGGGGAAAGGATGCTGGGGTACAGGATGGAGCATGTGCAGCCACTGCATGGGCAAACAGATTTGCAGGAGCTTGTCAGGGCTTTCCACAAAGTGCCTTTCAAATATCAGGATAATTTGGTGTCTCAACACTGGCACCCAGAAAGCCCAGTTTCTGTGTGGATGACATGGTGGATGCCACAATGGGTAGAAAGGAAAATTGGGGCTCATCACCCTGTTATGACAGTGAGGACTGAGATTGTATCACTGTTGTCTTTGGATGGAATTTGGGTGCCTGCCACTGGACAACGCTATGATCCTGAGTAGGTCCTCACAAAATCAATCACCTTGACGGTGGTACTGCCAGATGAGCCACCACTCTAATTCCTGGGTAGACAGGAAAGACTGGTTGCTCCATACAAAAGGTCTGCAACCCCAAAATCACAAATCTCGCCATTCTAGAGCAAAACACAACCAAAAGCTTCAGTTTCAGGCAAAGCCACATCCCGGCCTCCACAGTGACACATCCTTGAAGCCCCTTCTTATGGGCAGAGTTAACTTCGTACAAAACCAGAGCTGAATTTTCAGAGCTGTGTCCTTTCATTAATTATTCGATTTGAGAATAAAGACCGCTATCGTAGGCATGCTGGTGGCCGATTAAAGGCTCCAGACAGCTGCAACCTGCTTTATCGATGGTATTGCTCTAAGTATCTGCAGTGAGCTTTACTGAGGTCCTTGTTATAGCACCAAAACCAGGGTATCAGAGGTCCTATTTACTGCATGGGGCTGTGTGTGGCTTTCTGCTCTGGGTGAAATACCCCAAGCACTGCAGGATGTGTGCAATCATGTGTACCATCATTTGGTGAAAGGGATGCTGTATTAATGAAGGCTTTGAAGAACCCATTAGAATGATTAATATAGTAAATAATTTACTAGATGCAAACTCTGGTCATATGGCTACATTCAGACACACTAATTTCTGGAGCCGTATTCCTACATGAGGGTGTTATGCTGAGCTGGGGTTTAACCAGATATTTCTATTTATTGTTTACAGTGGACCTTGGTCTTTTAAAAATCGGAGATACTGGTTATATCTGCTTACTTATCTGTGCAGAGATAAGCAGTAAGTCTGGGGATGTGAATACACAATGTATACACTACTTGTATAGATGCATACAATTTTATGGCTACATATATAAGAAATCCGTAACACACTGGTAATAATGCCATGCCGCAGAAAACTTACTAAAATCATTATGCCTTTCAAACTTCAACTAACCACTTCTCCAATTCTGAAATGGTTTGAACCCAGCGGCCCCTTTCAAAGGGCTGTGGCACGCTGGAATGCAAACGCGGCGGTATGCAGCTCCACAATTAGCCTGCCTGCTGCCGTCCAGAAATGCTCCTCCACTGTCGGCAGAGCTAGGTGGAAGCATGCTCTCCCAGTGATTGCATAAGCATAATTACACGCTAGGCACGCAATTCATTAGAAAGCAGCATTTTCTCCTCCAGCCAGTTTTGCACCTGCAGGAAGATCTCAGTCACCGAGTGAGCCATCAAAAAACCGGTTACATTTAGCAGCTTGAATAATTAGGAAACTCGTTGTTCCCCAGTGATTCCACTGATGCTTTTTATGCTTCGGTGCTTCTCTACTCCCTCTTTCTTGAAGCAACATTTTAATTTAGGCCTGTGCTCTCCATCCTGGAGAGCTTCATATATAATTCAGAGAAGGCTAAAGTGACTGGCCTCCCCACCTCTCAGTTTAACACCTTCATTTCAGTGAACAACTCTCTTTGTGCTAAATCCTTTCAGAGGCTAATCTGTGCCAGATCAAAGGGGAACGGCTTTTAAGGCCATCTCCACAGAGCTGAGGTGATTATTAATTCATTGGAAGGTCTCCTCTGAAGTGCCCATTTATTTTTTGTATGTTAATGCACTTAAAGCTGGTTGACGGTTTAAACACAGGCCCTAAATCACGCAGTGAAATGTTTGCTGTAAAGGCTGATTTTTTTAAAATTTTATTTACAAAAAAATCCTGCCAGCAAGAACGATACTCACTTCAGCCTGAGATGAAATTACAAGTTTGGGATTTACGTGCTGATAAGCTAAAATGGACTCAAATAGATCCCTTTAAAACTGACCACTCCTGACTGTCCCAAAACACCTCAAAAATATAATGAAATAATCTCATATTCTGAGGTTTTTCTAGCCTTACACTCTGGCTGACGATGAAACAATCCCAGCAACCTGTCTGTCCCACAGCAGGTTGGCTCTGTTAGGTAATCAAATCACTCCTGTCTGCACAAGAACCACCTGATCCACATGCTCTTCCAGGTCACGAAATTTGCTGCAATTCCCCCCACAAACCACGGGCACATGTCCTTCCCTGCGTTCAACCAAACCCAGAACTGGCCCAAGTCCATGTGCAACAGAAGACAGAGGTCAACAACATGAAAAAAGATGCAAACTTGGCTGCTTTAGACTTGTGCAAGCCCCTGTTGCATCCTTTGCTAACAGCAGACAAAACCGGACACCTTTTGAAGCAGTTCCTTTTGCTGGATGATAAACATCAGATCAGGCCATGGCTATTTCACAGGGGAGTGATAGCTGCTCTGCCCAGAGCTCCAAACAAAACCCACACAACCCCGCAGGCTGCTTCTGCTTCCTTCCTCCTCCCTCTCCTTGCCATACCTCCTGGCCTCTGCCTGACCCCCACAACTCATCAGTGCTCATTTCTCTTGGTTGCTGAGTCAATCCTCTTGCTGAACTCTTTCCCTCAATGCTGTCTCCTCTGGCTTTTGCACCTCTCTCCTGTTATTTGCACCCAGCATTTCTAATATATCCCAATCACTTGAGACTGCCACTTTTGCTCCCGTGCAGTGGGCGCATTGGAGGGATGCCCTGTTGTGGACATCCCACCAGGACAGCTCACTCTCTCCACTCCTTTACTTCACCTACTCTCCCTTGTGAAAGCAGCACCAGACTCACAATCCTACAGCCTGCAAATCCCTCTGTCAAAGCCTCTGCTCCCACTACCCTTCTAGGTGCTCACATGGTTTCACTGGTTTCTTCAGACAACCCAAAACCTTCAGCCACAGAGCAGCCAAGGACGCTCCCACCCACCACATCTGCTCCTCTGCCTTTTCTCTAGCAACGTGTGGGAAGATTTTCTGACTCCACGTGCACAGCAATTCCTACTGGCCTCTCTCCCACACTTCTTGTACCTCCCTGCCTGACTCCCTGGTCCTTAAGTCCTTCTCCGCCTTCTGCCTCACTTTATTTGCAGCTACAACTTGGTTCCCCTCTTCTTGGATCCAGTGACCCCCCTCAACAAGGATCGAATGCCCTCTACATCTGTGATTTCTAAATTTTTCTTCTCCATCTAAGCATTACGTCCCAATGAATCCTGCCACAGCTCTTCCCACTCCCCCAGAAGTCTCTAATGAGATCGTGACAATATACCGCCTGCTAGGATTCATTCTAGCCATCTGCTATCCATCGAGGTACTTTTACTGCACCTCTGGCTGTGCCATCTCAGCATCAGAGACAGCGTGATGGGGGGGTGCTGAGAACTTAAACAAAGGCAAGAGGTAATGATTAGAAAGACCCTTGATTTGTCACAAGCCATCGGAGACTCCTCTGGCAGGGCTGATTTATATAGCCGATTTCAAATGGAATACGAACAAGCACAGAGCAATGTGAAAATACTTGCAAAGGCCAAGCAAGCTATAAACATTTGCAAGGCGCATGATTGCCTTTGGTTTCTTTTTATCCCTTTAAGAGTCTATGCCCCATGGTGCCTTTTATTGTCGCTGCACATGGAAGCAAGCCCAAGAGATCACTCTCAGACAGAGCATCCCACAGAAACGAATCCTGTTTCAATCCTCTGTTGTAACAGGAAATGGGGTGATTTTTCTCCTCTGTTTATTGTTATTTGCTGCATCAATCAGTGCTTCGCTGAAGATTGCAAGGGGTCTCTCTTTTGTTGCTGTTTGCTTTTGGAAGAACAGAACAGTTGTATTGAATCTTACAGATGAAAACAAGTTTCTCTCCTGTGTCTCTGAACTACAGTATGTGGCACCGTCGATTCATCGCTTTGAAAGGACTATAATTGCCTCATATCTGCTTAGAAACACAACTGCTTGATAACTACATCTGCACTCTTGCAGTAAGCATGCAAAACTACTACATCTCAGATTTTCTGTTGATTTTTATCTTGTTCCAAAGGGAGGAAGACTACATAGGAGAGACCCACCCACATATAGGTACACAACTGCTTTGCAGAACTTCAAACCCAGGGATACTCACAGCTTGCTTAGGTTTTCTAGGCCTGTAAAGGCTCCATTGGTATCTTCTATTGTGCCTGAGATGTCGTTGTGGTCCAGTTCCCTATGGAGAGGACAAGAGAGAGCTCATAACCTGTGTCTTAGCCCTAGGCTCATGTTAAAAACAAACAGAAGAAAGTCTGAGAATGCCACACGAAGAGCTTCCCATTTTCTCCTGACAGTTATCAGAAAAAGCCGAGTCCTGCAGCAAAGCAGCACTAATTACTGTTCCTGCACTGACGCATGCTGAGATGGTGCATTCCAAAAAGAGCTCTGGCTTTTTCCTAGCAGAAACTCTCTGTTTCTGAGACAGCAGCAGTAGCAGATAGCTACTTTTTAACAGGTTGGTTTCAGTCCTTCTCCAATTCTGTGCATCCAAACAAAAGGAGGAAAAAGAAAAGAAAGTCCCAAAACAAAACTGCAAGAAACAGCTGTCCCTAAATACTACTATCATGAATTAAGAAAACTTTGGCTATTCCCATATATACATATATTTGTCTACAGCTATATCTTCGGAAGATGATCTGGTGTATTGTCTATGAAGCTGCATTTTTTTCTGGCAATGAACTTGAAAGCTCAACAAAGGAAAGCACTATCATCACTACACAAGTCTAACTCTCTTGTATAAAATTGTATAAAGTTTTTAAAAAATGAATAAGAATTCCTTTTTCAGAGTTAGCTTCTTTTGGCTTTCAAAGTGACCATCAATTACAAGAGTCAAAGAGGTCTGAAGAAAAACAAGCACACAGAACAAACACAGAGATCCACAAAAGCTGTTTAAACAGTCTGTTTAAAAATCCTTCCCTCCTAGCTTTAATTCCAGCTAGCAATGAATACCCAGCAACACAGACAGAAATTTATCATTTCTAATGTAAAGTAAAAAGAAAGAAAAAAATAAATAGGCTTTGTTTGTTTTGTTACGTCATTCTGATTTAAAACCTAGCAAAAAACCAACAACAAAGCAAACTAAACCATCCAGATAACCTTTCGAACCCTCAAGTACTCCTTTCGCACCTTTTGAAGATTATTATCAGAACATTTCTAGTTGAAACATATAAAGACCAAAAAAGAAAAATATTTCCAAAACAAAGCCCCCTGCATTTTGTAACATTCCAGACACAAGCATCATAGTGTAGCTTCTGGGCTATGCAGCACAAATACAGAGTAACCCAAAAGAAGAGAACAGAAATTAAGTAAGAAAATCCCAGTTTCACTATTGGCATGGTTTTCCTGAGTCGAGATGGGGCTGAGACCTTTGCTCTCAGTACCTAAGCTGGCTGCAGTCTTTGCTTGTTTCTCAGCTTTGGTGTGTGAACTAAAGATGCAAAGGGAGATGGCCAAAAGGCAGAATTCCTGCTTCTCAGCTGGCTTCAGCGTGAGATCAGAATCTCCTGTCCCCAGGGAACCCTGGCCTTAGCCAGCATCATTGTGGATGTCAGGGTGATCTGCGGGTAGGTCTATGCCAAAGGGATGGATTAAAAACTCAACATCCCTGCAGGGTTTGGGCACACATAATGCTGTGATGGCATAAGAGACAAGTCCAGGAGAGACACTTTGATGTTCTGACATTTTCAGCACTATCTGAGAGGGGCAGGAGCAAATATATCCTCCTGGAGCTAAGTTTCTACATTTCCTCTATGGTTGCCAAGCCAATGCCTGTTGTTCTGTTTGGGTTTTAAGACATTTTTTCTCTTCAGTTCCACCACGGGCTACCGGTATTTGGACCAGCAAACCCTTTCTCATGGTAGAGACAGACAAATGGGAACAGCCTGTAGGAGCTCTCTGACACACACTTTTATTAATTGACTGCCACACATTGTGTTTTCTTGAAAAAGGAAAAGAAAATGGTATTGCTTGTTCATCCAGAGGCAACTCAAAGGTTTAGTGTTAGAAAGGAGGAATAAAAACCTTTTTAACAAATGAGTGAAAATAGAGAAGAAAAAAAGAGTGGGGTATTTTGGCCTAGCTCTCTTTGTATTCAAACCCCTCTCCCAGCCCCTGTTGCCAATTTCCTATTCTTTCTGGCTGGCTGAGCTTGAATGCTTGCAGCCTTGTTAATCATTGTGCTCTGAGGTCTCTGGGCCTGACCTCTATTTGAATAGCTCCACATTTCAGCAGTTTCACACCCACCAAAGGCTCCCCAACAATAGGCCATAATTAAAGCATGCTCGGGTCTTTTTCACCAGGTGCAGGACCCAATAGGCCTTTCTCTTTATTAAATTAGAGCTCGCTCACACACTCCCTCTCCTCCTCCCCCCTTGGCCTTAGACATAAAAGAGGCTCCGCATTCACTGCAGAGCAAAGAGAACTACCAGCTCCCCTTCCCCTCCATTTTTCTTTGGAAACCTTTAGTTCCGGTCTTGACAGCTGCCTCAGAGAGGTCCCCTTCTGAATGGCCAGTGGCTGAAAGACTTTGGCTTAAGTTTAAAAAAAGGGAAAAAACCAAACAAAACCCAAACTCACTTTCCAGTCGCTTCCTTCACTGTGAACTTCAATAAAGGAAAGAATAAGATGCAAAAAGTACTGTAAAGAGGGGAGATCTTTCTGTTCCCATTTCCTTTTAATTACTCAGGCCACAATGGGCTTCTAAAGAGGAATAAAAGTATCAAAGTGTGTTTTTCTCTTTTGAGGGAAGAATTAAATCAGCCTGCTGGACTCAACCAGCCTGGGAGCTTGGACAATGCTGTAACACAGGCTGTGAGAACTTTGTGGTGTGCCGGATGAACGTGCTGAGCCCACGGCCTCTGGAGAGAGGAGGAGAGCAGCCGGCAGCTCTGCAGGTACAAATAAGGGAGACAGAGGCAACACAGCTGCAGGAATGGACAGTTAAAAGAACTGTGTTTCCCATCTTCTCATGTTTCTAAGGCAAGATTGTACCTCAATCGAACATAGCTCTTGGGTTTAACAGTGTATAACAGTGCAATTCGATAGCTGTCATCCCAGAGGAGATCAGACTGATCTGTCCAATGGTCTCTATTAGCCTTAAAATCTAGAAGTTGCTATCATCTAGATGACAAGCTCATTTCCCATGTGACATTTCCAGGTATTATGTTGTGTCAGTGACTTCAAGTCTCTGGCCATAGCCACCACTGGATGGATCATTTTGCAATTCAGTATTAGGGCACACAAAACTCTTCCCTTGATAGCACGGCAACTTCATTTCCTACTCCTCCTGAGTGCAGAATGACCCAACAGAAACCGTCCTTTTCTAAGAATTTCAATTAAAGTCAATATGATGGCAAAAGAAATTCTGCTATTAGATTAAGGACTGAAACCTCAGGCATTTTTGCTCAGCTGGACTAGATTCAGGATCCTGTCCTAAGTTCCTATAATTTTACTCTGGAGCCTCTACTCTGAAAGCACTCTACAACACTGAGCAGTCCAACTGTAATTCTCCTAACTATTCTTAATTAAAAAAATACAAGTTCACTGAAGTTGAATAATGGGGTCAACACAACAGCCACTGAAGACAACTGAACAACGTGTAGGGGAGTCTGACACTGAGGACACAGGCACCCAAAACAACTAACAGTTTGACAGAACACAAACTGTGGAGGAAAGACAGGTGTTAGCTGACAAAACCTGGGTGCAACTTACAGGACCCGCAGGTTTTTGAGTCCCTTGAAGGCACCTTCTGCAATGTGATTGATGGAATTGTGGCTCAGTCGTAGTACATGCAGTCCACCAAGGTCTGCCAAGCTTCCCTCATCCAACCTGGTTAGGTTGTTGTAAGAGAGTATTCTGAGGAAAAAAAACAAAACAACACAACAGCCTTTGTCAATTCAACCAGTATTTTCCAAACTCCTCTGTGCCAACCAGTAACTGCCTCCCACAACCACCTTATGAGAGGTGATATGTACTGGATGGATACATAAGAGCTTGATTAGGAAATAAGACTGCAGTTTGCAAATATTCCCACAAGATACCCATGGCACAGCCTGGATGACCGTAAAGGAGCAGTTACATGGAAGTCTTCTGTAGAGGCAACAGAGAGAGGCTTCTCCAGAAGTGAATGAGAGCAATAAACTATTATGCATGCTGTCAGTTATGGTGGGGAGAGGCTACTTTCTCCGTGGCTAGTTCAGGACTGGGAGCACCCCCCTTCCTCAGTGCATAGGTAATGCTCCAGTCCTGGTTGTGTTCAATCCTCACTCCCATTTGGACTCTCACTGTGTCTTACAGGAAAAAGCAGTCCCCTCCTTCCCCACACCCTGCGAGGTGGAGAGTGACATCAAACAGATGGATTTTGAAGTTCACATGCGCTCTTGGCAGGGTCCAGACTTCTGTATTTGGGAGATGTCTTATCTTCTGCACTTGTGCACAGCAAGCCCCAGGCGTCTGGGTGTGGGTGTCTTCACAGCCTGCTCCACCCCAGTTGAGAGCCAAAAGCATTTCACCACAAGGCAATTGAATGCTTCCTTTCATCCACAGGAAGGAGGTATCTGTTGTAAACCAGCCGCCTTCCCTCCCGCTCCCCTTTGTCAAAGAGCATACAGTCTGCTTGAAATCTTCTCCACTTACGAGTGACTAATACTGGAGCATTGTTTTTTTCCTAGTTCTCCATCCATCTCTTCCCTTTGCCTCTATTATCTCTGGGTTTGGAGATTATTTTTTTTTAAGCTCTACTCCTGTTGCAGTTTGGAAGCTGGTAGGAAGAAAGCTGGTTTTCTTTTCCAGCCAGGGTACAGATGAGGCTTCTGAGATTTGACACCAAGGGCAGGGCATGGGAAGCTACAAGCCACTGCAGACACCTCACACAATATGCAACCACTATCTACGCAAGCAGTAAAGCTGCAGCATTGCCAATGTTGAAGGCCAGCTTGTCTCATCAAACAAGGGACCTCTGGAAGTAGCAGCAGGCAGAGTCACTGGTCTGTGATTTTCAGCCTGAAGCATCCGCCCACAGCTCCCCACTGCGAGTATATTCCTCCTGATCTCTGGGATCAGCTGGGTAAGCCCTGCAGGGCTACTGGCAGGTAAGCGTGACCAGCAATAGCCTCAGCTTTAAGTTGCCTGCACGCTGACATGTGGGATATAAAAAGTGGCATTCATCTACATGCTGCTACTCTACATCTTCTCAAGCTTATCTCTCTACAAAGGGCAGCTGCATAGGATTTTTGAAAATATCTTAGCGATTTGGGAGCACAAGTCACTTCAAAAGATGTGAGGGTTTGGGCTGCTAAACTTTTCACAAAGTGGAGTTATGCAGCTTTGAACAAGCACTGAAATCCTTCATTGTACAGACAACAAGAAAAATAAAAAACCTCACTGAGTTCCAAACCTCCAAATTCCTCTTCTAGTACTGCCTGTTAATGAGTCTGCATAAAAATGTGTCTAGGGCTTGCACGAAAGTCACTGCACAGCCAAAACCTAAGTCAAAACAGGCACATACTCTGAAGCACTGAGAATGTCATTTACTTGGCAAATAAGCTGTCTATCTTTTAGCTGTGTGAGTGGGCAGAGGGCAAGCTTTGGAAAAAAATTCAGCAAAGATTAATGAGTTTGAAGAAGGTATGGGACAACATACTTTCATTCCTCAAGAACTTGTAGTGTTAGTTATGAAGAACTGGCATCCGGTCAAAATTATGTCCTCACCTGCGATTAAAGAATTTGGCTTAAAAAAAAAAAAAAAAAAAAAAAAAAAAAGGTGTTCAAAAGTAATCCTAAACCTAGCTGAGAAAAAAAAAAGTTCCTCTTGATTCTACACAGAAAGTTCCTGCCACAACTGGTAAAGGCATGTTCCCCTCTGTTTGTCCTGACATCACCTCAAGATGGATGGACAGCAGCAGTCTTTAGAGGGCTCTCTCAATAGCTGCAACCAGATGGAAAGTTTCAGGAGCTAATGCACCTGGCAGTGGCTTCCTTCAACACATAAGGGCTCTGCTTCCTGCCAGTAGGACAGGCCAATTTGCAAAACAGCGTGTTCCCCTCCTCAGCAGTTTGTATCATCTGGGTCGAGAGAAGTCAGCAGGTCTCTGTTGCTTCCTCGACCTTCTCATCTCTCTACCAGTGAGAAATCACCGGAACAAACCAGTGGAAATGTTTGTCTCCACAGGCCTTTTGGTCTGGCGAGGAAGTGGGAGAGCAGAACACAGAGCAGCATGCCAAACGTGATACATAAAGGGGTTAAGCAGAAACCTGTTGTGTTGTGCAGTTGGGGGTCCTGCTGCCAGCCAGTTCTGGACTAGGTACATCTAACACATTTCATTCCCATTGACCAAACCACAGGTAAAAAGTGAAAAGAACGACCCAGCAGCCAAGTCATCGTTTACTCCTGATGAAATCCTATGCTCTCACTGTGGATTTTTCCATGATGTTGATGCCCTAGCACCTGACTGGTGAATACAATCAGCCCTTTCTCATGCCCATAACAAGGTAAGAGTTCTCTTTCCTTGTTAGCTTTTACATCAGACCAGAGCCTTGGGGTCACATTTTGTCCCAACAACTGAAGGAGACACAAGTCATCCATCAGATGACCACCTCCTTCCTTAGCACAGATAAGCAGGGGTCTGGCCACCTCTCCTTCTTGGGTCAAGGACTTTGAAATTCATTCCCTGTACAAACGCAGTGTTTTCTGATAACTGAATCCCAGCAGATTTAGCAACAGGGGAGGCGAGCAAGGATCTTTTAATAAGGAATGAAACATACACATTGAAAGAAGTGCACAGAGGCAGTCTAGATGTATCTAGTGCTTCCTTTCTTCACCCTTCAATTTCAGAGCAGACCCCTCCTACAAGTACTCTTTGGCTGTGGGAATTTCATTTAGGAGTATCTGATGGCTCCCTACAGCAGCATTACCCTAAAGACAACACCTGCAAGAGCTTGCAATATTTTGCAGAGATGTGTGCTAACACCCACATAATCACATTTCAAATCTCAGCTAATGTCATCTCTGGCCTCACACTCTAGCACAATCCTGTTTGTCAGGCCAAGCATGCTCCAGTAGCTCCTACAACCTCACAGAACCAGGCATTTTCCAAATCTACCCCATTCTGCAGCAGGGCAAGCGAGTCCTGCACTAGGTTTCTGCAGTTACTGTAGAGGACAGCCTCTAAGCCAGGACAGCTCTCCATTAGCACTGCTTGTTGGCAAGAGATCCCAATCCATACCTGACAAATAAAGGACTCGGCATGATGTGCAACCTCCCATCTAAACCTTGAGGGTTTGCAAAGACAGTGTCAGGTAGAAAGACAAGCATAGTTCTCTCTGAAAGAGTTCTGACATTACTTCTGCAAGATGCAGATGGGGCTTACTCATCCTATCTGAACCCAGGCTGAAATAAAGCTTCGACACAGGCACCAGATATTGGGTCCCTGAGAGCACAAAGGTCTCAGAGCTGTGTTACTAACACACTGCAGGGATCTGAATTTGGCTACTCCAGGGGTCCAACTGTGAGTGCCGTAGGAAGGCAGACTCCCCTTTTTAGATGCTTTAAATTTAAGCAGACCATGGGTGGAGCGTAGTGCAGATTCTGATCTGTTGTCTTGAAGATTTCTCCATTGCCACTGTATTAATCTAGTAAAGTATCACTTGAGGATCTGCATGTGAAGCACTGTGCCAAGCAAAGGAGCCCTTTGGGCATGGGCAGTTTCACAGCAATTTGAAAAATTAGGTAAGTAAATAATCACATATGTATTTAACTAAAACAAAAAATAAAGTATTTCCCCTTCTGCCACAAAAAATAATCCACATCTGAATTAATAACTTGGGTTTAACAGAAGATCACAGTTGGTCACTGGGCTAACATGTTAATTCTACAGCTTCTGAACATACAGGAATGACATGTATCATGTCCACCTCTCTCTTGAATCTGTATCCCCAAAGACTAGGGAGTCACAGCTGGGTAGGCAGATACCGACCTTCAGTCTGAGTCCAGAGTGAGGCCTCTCAAAGCGGGAAGCTGCTTTACCATACTGCTTTTTGGTGAATAGAGGAATCCCTAACAATGTTTAACAAGAGATTTCTCAGCACCAAGTAGAATGAATTACAGTTCCGCTAACCACATGTGTCAAGTTCTCCAAATAAAAAAGTGAATCTTTCCACAGTCCCACCAAGGGGATGACAGCTACTTCTGTAAATACTGTAAGCATCCATGTGTGTCTCCTCAAAAAGGCATTAAGCAGTGCCACAGACCCAAAAGAGACCCTTGTGGGGCTGTCCTCAGCAGCAAGGCTTTCTTTCATTTATCAAAGAGACTGTATTCACAGCTGGAAATCTCAGGAGAGAAAAGCCAATGTATTTACTTTTCAACAACTGAGCCCTACAGGAAGGGTACAGTGTAAACAGGAGAAACAAGGAGAACTGCCTTTAAAGGGCCAAATCTCTGCTGGTTAAAAACATGATCGTTCTTTGTAAATACAGAGGACAAAGCAAAGCTTCCTTCAGGCTGTATGGTCATTATATGGCAAGCCATGCATGTCTCGTAACCAGCTAGCTAAAAAGCGTTGGCGAGCCACAGATCACAAACTCTCCGGGTCTTTTGGTACTGTATACTTTTAGTGGGTTCTAGTCTTTGTTCCTGGTGCAAATATATTTTAATCGGGTGCTCTAAAGGTCACAACATCATGAATAACAAGAGCATCACTTTCGAGGCTGCAGTTCCTGTATTTCTACACGTTGATACAGCGGGAGCTATAGCCCATGTGATCAGGGAAAATCCTTACTCCCTTTTCCTCCCAACCTTACATCAGCATCAAACCTGCTCAACCAACCACAAAGAAACCAACTTACAGCTCATGGAGCTTCTGACAGAAGCTCCAGCCATCGGGGTTGATGCGGGATATGGAGTTGTTACTGAGGTGAAGCTGGTGCAGAGATGAAAGGCCATAGAGAGAGCCACTGTTTACTTCTGTCAGGCTGTTATACTCCAGGTGGCTGTGAAGAAAGATCAGAAGGAATTGACAAACAGCACTGGTCAAATGCTGAAGAACTTCCAACAAGCCATTCCTACACACTCTTGTACATACCCATGTGGGCATGTGTGGGCATTTCCTGTGCAAGTGAAGGATAGAAATTCAAGGACAACACAAAGGAAATACCAGAACGCGCTGTGACTGCAGAGGTACGCTCCGCTGCAAGTAAACCGGGCTTAAAGCATCCCATTCAAGTTTGTATTTGCAGAGTCTCAGTTGTGTGACAGCAGCATCCAGAATCATGCTGCCTTGATCACTTGCAGCCTTGAAAACACACTTGAAAGCCAATCATGTTGGAAGTTTCAAGCATTTCTCTGCAATGACTATTCAATTTGTTCTTTTGTATGGAAAGAACACATCACTGAGATAGGCCAGCTTGGTTTCTAGGTATCCCAAGAGGCAGAATAATCAGGTCTGCAACACATAGTTTCCATGTATCAGTCAAAACAAATCTGAAGAAGCCAGATAAGCTTTTATTTAAAGACCAATTGAGATCTTACTGAATGTTCAAATCATCAAACTTTCAAAGGAATTCCGCACAGCTTGAAAAACAGGACTTTTTTATTGAACACCTGGAAAGCAATGAGCTTTAGTAAACTGTGGGTCAACCAAATGGAAGCTGCTATAGCATGGCAGAGCTCCGTGCATGCAGGACACAGAAAGAAGCATGAGGACTGGCACAGGTGCCCACAGGTCTCTGATGGGAGTCCTTGCTAAAATGCAGAGAAGGACATGATAGTAGATGAAGTCTAAGGGAAAAGAGCCCGTCTCTCCAACTTACAGGACTTGCATCTTGGCTAGACCCCAGAAAGCCCCATCAGTCAATTTGCTTATGTTGTTGCGCTGCAGTTTCAGGACTTCCAAGCTGTCCAGTCCCTGGAATGTCAGGCCTTCAATCAGGCGGATGCGATTCCGGTTCAGCTCCCTAAAATTACCAAGGCCATACAAGTTTATTAAATCCCAGTCCTTTCTCACGAAATCATCTGTGCAGCATACAATGGGGACAGCAATGCCAACAACTCCTCTGTCAACGGTTCCCAGGGGAGAGGAGAAGCGCACCGGAAACTTTCAATCCCAGAGCTAGCCAGGGAAGTCAACTGGGTCTGATCGCTTAAACAAACTCACCCTGGGACAGACTTTCACTATAAAGAAATAACAGAGACAGTGTGGCAATTCCTCTTCATCCCTCCTCTCTCTGCATTTCTTTTAAGCCATTTATCCTTTTCATCAATTTTCACACATCGTCATCTCTCAAGCATAGACACCATTTGAACCAATATAGTTAAACACGAGCATTATTTCCCTTACAATCCACTGTTTTTACAGGACCTGCAATAGCCCAGTAAAAATGTGTTCTAAAACAAGCTGGTGCCATAAGAACTGTAAGCCCAAGAGGAAATTTTATGGCTAAGTTTGAAAGGAAAGCTTTCAGCTCCCCTGACAAATTTCACATTTTTGCCTATTATAAGAAACTAATAAAGAGTGAAACAAGTTGTTTCCAATAACAACGCAGTCTTAGTATTGTGTATACAAAGTTCTCCAACTGGTTCATTAAATCTCTTTTTTTTCCCCTCTGGGTGGGGAGGGACCCCTACATGTTGGGAATATTTTTTTTCCAAATAGCAATACAAACATCATCACAGCATGCTTTACCAACTCATATCAAACAGTATTATGGATTGCTAGACTCAGACATCCCAGGTGAAAACCCAGTTCCATAAAGTCAGTGGAAAACTTCATCAACACAATGCATTAAAGCTGAAGACAGGGCTTTTAAAACGAATACCTTTCTGTACATACAAGACTAACCTGAGGGTAGTTCCCAATTCAGCATTTGTGTTGAAGAAAATGGTGGAGGTTACAACATCAGAACTTGTTTTGGAAAAGATGAGGAAGCTGTAGGAACTTTAAGCTTACTTTTTAACTGCCTAAAAAAACAATGTTGAACTTGCACTCAAGTTGAGTGTAATTAAAGTCAAGTAAGCAATTAAAAAGTTTTCAGTCCTAAAGACTCTTGCCTTACTGCACTTCCTAGGCTATTAGTGAACTACTCTTTGCCAGAAAAAGAACTGTACACAAATTCTACAACACATCAAGTCTGTATATCTTGCAATTCATTCATGTTTATCTATAGGGTTAAACAACCAGCTGTGAGACTATCTTTAAGAGTTCCAATTACTCCAACTTTCAGTGAAAACTGTGTTCCTAAACAGATTGAGTTGACCCTCATTTTTATTAGCTTTGCACATTATGCAGACACACACAGTGGATTACAAGCTCTCTTGTCAATGGACAGTAACTTCCAATGGAAAGGCAAGAGACTTAAGATGCACGTGCTATTGTGTCACACTGTTCAATCCCAAATTTGCCACAAATCCTACATGTATGCAAGCAAAAATGCACACCCATTCCTCAGACACATCTTGGCTTAAGGATTTGTCAAGAGGTTGCCATTTAGAGGTGCGAGTTCCAACAGCTTTTGCGGACTTTATGTTAACAGACAGAGGCTGACCTTTTGCCTATCAAACTTGATGGAAAGACTGCAACAGGCTTCAGGTTGGGACTATTTCTCCAACAGCAGCAGAAGGGAAAAGCTAAACCATTAGTGCTACTGTTTTACACATAAAGCATATTTATAGCTGTAGATGCCTATGTGTCCCCATACAGGTCCTGCCATACAGACAGCAGGCAGGGTAACAATGATGTGTGTGTTAACTCATCTAGAGTGCTTTTTTTCTCTGCCAGTGCTACTATTTTACACATAAAGCATATTTATAGCTGCAGATGCCTATGTGTCCCCATACAGACAGCAGGCAGGGTAACAATGATGTGTGTGTTAACTCATCTAGAGTGCTTTTTTTCTCTGCCCAAGTATCACTACACAGTTTAACAACCTTCCGTCATTACTTTTTTATTGCCACATAAAGATACCTGTGTGGTCTTGAAAAACTAACATGGTAGCTGAGCTGTCGCTCACAACAGAAATATCTTCCAAACCTCTCTTGCACCACAGACACCAGTATTTTTTAAGGGAATGGATTTGTCTCATGCTGCCAAGTGCATAAGATGCTGATGTCTGCTGCTGCATCCCTCCCTCTCCACCTGATCAAAAGACTGGCCTGAAAAGGCAATAACCACAAGATAAAAAGGACCCTCTCCCAACGTGTTTTACTAGGTGCTGGCAGAGGACTACTGCTTGGTGTATTCTAAGTTTTATAGATAGCAGGTGAGGAAGGGTGACATTTAGTGTGTTTATCCTCAGGGACATTTTGTCTCCATAAAGTGAGGCTGAGCTTAATTAAAGTGCACATTTCTACTCACAGTTGTGTTAGCCTGGGTAGCCTGAACGCCTTGACAGGAAGCTGAGTGATCCTGTTTTTACTCAGACGAAGTGTTAGCAGGGACCGTGACAGACTATCAAAAGCACCAGGCTCCAGGGTGCTGATTCTGTTGCTCCCCAGGTAGCTGCAATAAATCACAACAGAAAAATGAACAGTTCTGTCAGAAATCTCCTTTTATCAGCATTTGGTTGGTCTCCAGACAGGCTAGTGAAATTACTGAGGTGGCTTCAAATCAGTCGGATTTCTGGCCGCACAAAGAGCACAGTGCCTTTCCCAGAGCCATGTGACGAATGTCGAGAAGTGTTGCACACTTCCCAAGAGCTCCTTGATACCCTCCTACTTTAGCAAGGCAATTGGGATTGGCAGCCAGAAACTGGAGAATATTCCAATGTAGGATGACTCTATTCATTCCCCTTTTTCCCCCTCAGCATCTGTCCCAGGGCTTTTTCTTATCTGGACCCTAGTCTTAGCCGCAGAGGCTGTTTTTACAGAGTAACAGGCAAACATCAGTCACAACACCTCTCTCTTATATCCTTTTACAGCCAGGGGCAGAAATTTTGGTGCAAACTTTAATGCAAGCAGATTATCTGTCTGCACCTCTTCAAAGGTACCTAAAACGCAGATTATTTTATGTTTCACTGAAGAGGCAAACATTCCTATTGGGAGGGTGTTACTCTGCTTAACCCCTGGTTTTCTTCAAATAACCAATGAGGATTCCTGTTCTTAACATTCAGTAGCCACTTTAATGATGAAATAGTCATTCCCCCTCCCCTCTTCCAGATGCACACAGGCTGATCTGGGAAACAGCATATACACTTCCCACTGGGGAAAAGACACAGACAGTTCCTTGTAGCTTCTAGGCATCTGTAAAGACACTTATACCTGAAGGATGCAGGATGCCTTTTCTCTGTTGCAACATTCCCATGCAACACAATTAATAATCTGTGTTCTTTACACATACATCAGAAACCAAAGACAGACCTCAAAAAATAACCTGACAGTAGGGACAACATGCTGCCTTCCAATTCTCCTTTGCACTTAAAATCCTGACGACTAACCCCATACTTTGCATGTTCAATCCCTCTCCTTTTTTTAAAGAAGGTTTGAGGCCCTTTTCTCTGCTGTGGTAACTCAACAAAAGCTGTTCCCAACTAGAAAAAAAACTCACAGCTCCTTTATATGAAGTCCCTGCGGAAAGCAGCCGTTTCGGATTTCCGTGATGTCATTGAAACTCAGGTCCAACGTTTCCAGGGTAACGTAGGGCTTCAGTTGACTTGCTTCAATGCTGCGGATCCTGTTGTGATGCCTGAAACCGTCAGGAGGAGAAATGGAGACAATTTAGTTCTCTTTAGGCCCACAGGCTGGCCCCTGAGTTCGTACATTCAGACTTAACGGTGCTTGTTCAACAGCTGCCTGAGGAGAAACCCACACCAGAGAGATCTTCCCTAATCCCCATGCTGTTCCTATGGTTAGAGACCGGCTTACAGATATTTGCAAACTTCCAGACGCTTTTTCTGGCATGGTACAAGACTTTTTGCTGCTACAGAACTATTGACTCCATTCATTAGTCTCCCTTCCAGTAATTTGGGCTTGGTTCTCTACGAGCCTGCATTTCCACAATGGATTTGTTACATGCAAGAACTGAAGGGCTGGATTTTAATCGCGCAGGCAAGGAGCGCTGATCAATGGTTTAAGCAACCTGCCAACACTTTACACAGAGGATGGGATTTTCAGAGCTGCCTGCAGGCAACAGATAAGTAAACTCAAGCAAAAGTTACAAAACGTTGTTTCCTTAATTCCTAAGAATCCTTCTAAAAACTCCCTGCTTTAGGCTATGTTACAATGATATGTAATGCACAGAAATACTGTAAAAGGGCTTGTTTGACCCACTGTGCTATTAGGACAACACTGCAGTGCCAGTGCTCTGTGACTGCAGGATCAGACCCTGTAATGATCAGCTGTGTTTGCTGCCTTACCAATACCAGCCTGAAGGATTCAATCTAACATTTTTCTTTAGAGAAAGTACTACAAGCTGTCCTCAGCATCAAACAGTTAATACCTCTAGACCTCATCTGTACTCAACAAAGTCTAACTAAAAATCCCCTGAGTCCTTTTCTCTGACTCCTTTCTGGCCTGAATCAGTAGAGAGAACAGTAACCAATTTAAAAAACACATTGCGCATTAGTCACAAGAAGTAGAGCATATGCCTGATGTGAATTTAGACCAGTCACTGATATTACTGGCAAGGCTGCAAGTGAGGCACTCCAAACAGAGATGCTCACCAGACACTTGAGAATTTGCTGAATAATAGCAGAGAGATAGCAGAGAGGGTTCAGACAAGTACTGTGCCTTCATCTGGATGGCTACCCACTGAGTAACCAGAAGAAGAGAGACAGCAGCCAGTGAAAGCACTCTTGAATACAAACTGGGACGTCCTAGCTCTGCCAACAAAGCATCAGCTCTCTAAAACAAAAAACTGATGGGTAAGCTGACCACGGCCTTCCAGGCAGTGAAGGCAATGGGTGTCTGGGAGCCCATCTTCTCCAGCTTCACCTCCATTTCAGGCTCTCCCAGGGGTTCAGACAAGCCCCTTTCAAAGAAAGCCTCTCCTCTCAACAGAAAATACTAATAGGGACCTCCTCCGCACACTGTGATCTGCTCCTTTACCCTCCCTGTTATTAAAACCAGATTGCTTCACCACCACATTTGCTGGTGTCTGTAACAGGAAGAGGATAAAAACTGTATCTCCAGACCAAGTTGCTTTCTGGAGACTCACCCTTTAAACAGCCACCACACGATCCTCACTTACACTGGGAAACATTCACAGAAATGCTGCTTTGACTAAAGAGTTTAAATGCTACTTAATTAATTCAGTGTAAGCTCACAAATCATTAAGGACAAATTTGACACCACTATAGCAATGCACTGCTAATGTGGTGCAAAAAGGCGTCAGAAAAATCAAAGGAAAGTCATTAACCTATGTTACCAAACTGGTTATTCCATGGGTTACAGGCACACAGACCTCTGCAACCACAAACTGTATAAAAAGGCAATGATATGGCTACTATCCAAGTGACCAATATTCATTTAACAGTCAGAAATAAAGACTGAGTTTTCACGTCCATAGCACATAACGGAACAGAGCTTCAGTGAATTTATGCTAATAGTATGACTAAAATCCAGAAAAACTCACTATACCTAGAATTTCGTGACCTCCATAAATTGAACACGTGGGTGAGGGGGATTTCTCTTCCCCAAGGATTAGTTTGTTTTGCAAAGCCTCAATTATTAGAATCAGCAAGTTCAAAAATTTCAATGTTATTTCCTCCTCAAAATAAAAGAGTCCATTAAACGCGTGTGTGACCCTGATTCAGGAAAGTACCTCAACACAGACATAAGTGAAAGCAAACCCCAAGCATGTTTTCCATAGCTCTCCTGAAGCACGAGCTATGAGTTCAACTCTGATCTCATCTAGGCTGTGATGGCTGAGATGAATCTGGCTGTAAATTAACAGGAAATGAAGGTTTGTTCAAATGAACGTGAAGAATCTATAAATTACCGGACAATTCCTGTGCAGGGCAGCTAAATCTGCAAGGGAGTGAGAGCACAGAGTGAGTTTGGATATGAAGTGGTCTTCAGAAGCCAATATTTTTTTTTTTTTTTTTTTTTTTTTTGAGTATTAACATTTCTGTGTTTTAGTTGTACAACATATATCCAATCTGCCTGCCTGCCAGATCTCTCAGCCCATCCCAGAGGACAGACTTTAAGAAGGGAAGAAAAGGACAGGAAAGTACAATTTTGTTTGAGCCACGTTCACAGTTTCCAGGTGACTTCTGTCTGTTTGCCTCTCGCTTTTCACGTGCTACAGCTAGCAGATTAGATGGATGCATTATTTCACACAGGAAAGAAACAGGCTCCTTTCTCTCTCTCTCCTTCAAACATGGGCTGACTCCAAACGTAACTCTCAGCTCCAAACACCATCCGCACGCGGCCAGTCCCAGCTGGGGAATGTCAGACAGTTTGCTGCAAAGCACTGCACCCTCTCAAAGCACTGCACTTCAAACAAAACCAGCCCGGCTGACTTTTCCTATACACAGCATGTGATATGAACACAACGTCGTCCAAACCTTTTACTAGCTTGATTACATTTTATTTTTCATTCTTTCAAGTAAGAGCTGAAATGTGATTTAACCCTTCCTGTTATTACTTAGATCCTTTCAGCTCATCTGCCTTTGTTCCCGATCTCATCGCAGGGTGTTTTATAGAAAAAAAGAGCAGTGACGTTATGACTTTGCCTCTCCCATTTAGCAGTGACTGGAAAAGGGTTGGATTTTTCCCAACTAGCTCCTTAGTTTACATTTCCTTGGCTTCAAAGGTAGCAGATCAGATTTTAGTACCAATTGTCGAAACCAGGCTTTAAAGCACAAATTATCAGTGCTTCTACAACCAATTTGCCTCCAGGTGTCTTTTCTTCTCCCCACTCCTTAGGTATCACAGCCTGGAAACAGCTTTCCCTGTCTCACTTCAGTCAGTGTTACCTCAAGAGTATAAGATGACAGGGTTCAATGTGAGATTGAGCAATTAGAGCCTGGAGCAGGAGCCAAGTCTCTTGGTTTCTATTCCCAGCTCTGGCACTGACTCATCTGCCTTGGGCAAGTTTCTTAACCCCTCTCTGCCTCTGGTTTACCAAAGTGTATGGGAATGCACTGCTAGACTAGGATGATGCAGGACTGCCTTCACTGAGGACTAAGAATTTGGAGTGAAAGCAGCTCAAGTGCAAAAGAAATCACAGGAACTAAGGAGCCCATCCAAGTCCACTTGGGTTTGCTCATGAATATGGGAGGATCTGGCTAAAACAGTTGAACTTCCCAGCTCATGCCCAACCTCATTCCCAGAAACACTCCATTTGCAGCTAACGCAGTCCTTGAACCGTAACACCTTAGTGCTAAACTCAAAGTCAGCAATGGATTACTTTCAGACTGCGAGTTGCAATGCATATGGCACTTGTTCAGCAACTGCTTCACCCTCAGGTCAGCACCAGCTACAGCTGCAAACGAAGAGAGGAGAGCTGAGGGGAGCTACCCTCCAGCCACTGCCGCTTAACATGCCTGCACCCCTGGTCAATACCCCCAGGTACTGCAGCCTCTTAGCCCTTGCACTTTGTACTGCTCTTGAATAGATCCTTCAGGATTAGAGGAGATTTGGATTAACCTCAGCCAGCTCTTTGCTGAACCAAGCCCATGAGGACCATGTCAGGAAGCGAACGCGCTCTCTGCGCTGCTGAGAGACAGAAAAACAAGGAAAATGTTCCAGCGAAGCCAAAGCGTGTTTGGGTTTGCTCTAAGTCAGGAGGGAGCCGAAGGGGGTGGCAGGAAAACAACAGGTGGCGCAAAGTCAAAAGCTTGCAGCGTTTCCAGGAATCTCGGCTTGTATTTTAGAGGTAAAGTTACACTTTAATCCCGATGAGTTTCCTCGTTCAAATTGTCTTTGTGAATATTTATTTGATAAACAGGCTGCGAAACGTTTTCCGCTAGACCTAACAGGAGAAGAATTCACCTTCCCCTTTGCAGTGAGCCTGTCCTTTGGAGAACACTAATCAGTTTAATTTAGACCGTGGCTTCAAACTACTTGTGTGAAATCGATGCAGAGAGCAGCACAAACACACTCCTTTGTTGTTCAAGCCACATTCACCTCCCCTCAGCAGCTGCCCATTAGAAAGCTGACAGCGGAAAATCAAAGCAAGTAGACCCTCAGATGAGAATGTATGAGGGGCTTTGGTTGAAGTGATTTAAATACAATCAGCACAAACCCTCCTGGTTTAGACAAAGCTTGAATTAAGGCTGCCGGGAGTCTGCAGTGCAAATGTTTGGTGTGAAGCAAGGCTAAAGGCAGGAGAAGTCACATGCTTGGCCTTCATGTCGTGTCAGCTTACAGAGCTGGCTAGGCTCACCAAAAAAAAAAGCAAGCTGTAATACAGCAAACCTATTAAACCAACACCTGTTATAGGCATCAAAAATAAAATCAAGCTTCAAAAGAGAGGCTCTGCACCTCGGGTAGGGTTCTATTAATACTCAAGCACATTTCTAAAACTAGCATGAGGGAGATCATAAGACTAGAAACAGAGAGATTAAAATAAAAAGTTCAGGGTTTGGTTAATATTTCCATACTTAGAAAGTACTGAAGAAACCAAATGCTAGAGCCAGAAAGAGTTATGGGGTTTGCTACTGAAGGATAGGCAAGGTTTGGTGTCAGAGACAGGCCATGCAAAGAGAGCGAGATCAAAGGCACCATAACAGGACACAGATC